TACATTGTATAACAGTCTGAGTTCAAGGGATAATGTATTTTTTTTTATTTTTCAACAATTATGAAACAAGAGATTTCAGCTTGTGTTGGCCCAACGTTAGCGCTGAATGTCTTAATGTTGGAGGAAACCAGAGTACCCTGGCAGGTAACCCCATACCTTTTCACATCGGATCGGAGATTCGAACCCCGGCCATCTTGGTGAAAGGCGATTGCGCTATTCGCTGTACCACCTGACCACCCAAACCCGAGTTCCAGGATTCGAATCCTGGTCCACTCATGCTGAATTTTTATACCCAGAACACTGTTGTTAATTATATTTTGTTTCATCTTGATCATTTTATCATTTGTCCTGCAAGGTATGGTTTTCTTTTTAGAATCGATTCATTAAAGCTATATTCTTGCTGAAGAAAAATAGTTTTTGATGCATATTTACAGTTCCTGACAGTGGTAGGAGCATCCTTAAGTGAGAAATAAAATATAATATTTGTCATTGATACTGTATTATATAATTATATCATTGACATCCTTGTCAGAAAGATGCTATAAAATTCTAGATAGTTTCAAACATTGATGTCGACTTCTGATTTATTTGCATAACTTACGTCAGGTATGGTGAGATACGTGTAACAACTTAAGTAATGACAGTAATTCTACTGTACTTTTACCTGATCCATCATGTCACACCAAGTATAATACCTACCACTCCCATATATCCGTAATGAGCCTATAACCTTGCCACCTACTAGCAGGGTCCATTGTCATTTCTAGGGCAAACAGGTTAATTGGCAGAAATGATGGAGTGATTTCAGGTATTTCTATATATGCATTTTTAATTCGTAATCAGCAGGCGTGATCGTGATCGGAGTAGCCTTACCTGACACGAGATATTGTCCTGATACCTAGCAATAACTGACTTTTGAAACAGGTAATCTGTATCATGTGGCTGCGGTGCTGCCCCCTGGTGGCCAGGAGGAGACACTTGGTGGCACCCAATCGTCTGCCCCGCCTGTCTTACCCGTATATCCCTATATGGATGCGGTTACTAATACGGCATATATCTTGATTGATAAGGACAATTGCAGAATGGCTCAATGGCCTCAGATTGTAAATGAGACTGTAGAAAGTTGAGAATAAAGATTAAATGTGTAGAATCTTTTTGTTATGAAAAAATACCACTTAAGTAAATTGAGGCAAAAATATGTTATGTTGTAAAATGAGATTGAATAGGTTACAGAGGTAAACTGAGAGAGACTGAAAATAAACACAAACATTTTCGGGTAATAAATAACCTGGGTAACAATGGGAAGTTAGACAAGGAATGTATAGTTTACCCTGGGGCCGGGGTCACATGATGTACAGATCACTTTCAACGAAGAGTCCAGCTTGTATTATATGGTATGCCAAAGGGGATGAAAAAGACATGAAAAGATCGTGTTCTTAGTACTTTATGACCCATATATACCTTTTCTGACAGATTCTATCATAGATGAGGCACGGTACTGACAGTTTATCCATTGGTAAACATTTCGACTCTGTCTAAATCAGCTGAAAATGTATAATACATACATATGGACATGCCCTATATACACACTGGTAAGAACTGTATTTTTGTGTAACTAGGTCACCTTCCTCTTTTCAGGATGATCCCTCACGGTCAAGGTCACAATGAACCATACCCAAATCACTTATTTATTTTTCAATCTGAAACTTAGTCCAGTGAATATATATCTCCATGAATCTTGCATCATGACTTAATTACCGTAACAGTGTTATGCATGAAGAAAACTGTACTTTAGGGTCAAGGTCATGCAAAGGTCGCATCATGTACCGCTGTGATACTTTTCAGCACTCAAATGGGTCAGTTTTGATTGCTCAGCATTTCTGAGTTCATACTTAATTATTTTTTATTGTAGAACAATTCAAGTTAATTACCTGGAAACCATAACTGGAATATGCTTAGAATATCCAGGTTAAAGAAACAACAGGATGTGAGGATACATGTAACAGGATTAACAAAGATAGATTTTAATTCGCATAATTTGAAGACAAGATCAAGCTTTTGTACCATGAATCAGTTGAAAACTTGGAATTCACAAGATTATAATAAAACTTTCTGAAGTGTAAGTTTATAAGGGTCATTTCAATACTTGGAGGTATCAGTCACTGCACACAGCCTATAATTAGCTATTATCTATTCCAGATCACCTGGGGGGAGGCGGAGGTGTGTTACGTTTGATGTGGTAGGTCTATTGGGGGTCTGCCACAGGTCATGGATTTAATCAGGAAAACAACTCCATAAACAAGGTCATTGGACTCTTTTGGTGACAATTTTAGAGTTTTAATATTAATGTGACCTAAACAACCTGTTTATTGGTAAAAGTTATAACATACAGTAAAGTTATGACTGTTTTGTTATAGTGGTAATGATATTTTTTACTCAACTATACGTACTTAATACTGCAAACATGTGTATTTCACAGTTTAACCGATACGCTATGAAGCAAATTAAGGAGACCTTTTTAAGGTCCGCTACTGAGAGGTAAAATACGTAGTTCCTGGACACATACCCGGTAATTCTTATAAAGCACGTTGGTAAATCTGAAATCTATTTCAGACAATTACTTGTGAACTATTTGAAATATATATTTTAAGACGGCAGCTGTATCCAGATGTTTCCTTTTGTATATTAATGCTTTAACAGTTCCATTTACTAAAAGATGCTCCATCTTTCCTTTGGCTGTATATAGTTCAAAGTTCTGCAAATGCCCATTTTTCTCATTGCTACTATTACTGGTAACTACTATACCCCCTCCAGCCCCCCTCCACCCCCCCTCCTGCGTCCCTCCTGCGTCCCTCTTAACCCCCCACCCACCCCCTTCTTCTCCTTCTGCCATCTGCTTCCTTGCTCATTGTCAATAAGATTAGATTAAGTATGAATCAACTTATCCTTCACTTTTCCATATTTTATGGTGGAATTTATTCTCCTGATAACTCTCCTTGCTGTGGCCCATTGCTACCTATTTTGCATCATAACCAGAAAAATAAACATTTAATGTTCCTTTAATACTATAAAATTGGGAAATTTTGTTTACAGCTGCAGATTTTGACGACATTGTCAATGCATGCATAGCTCAAAAGATAAATATCAACACTTTTAAAAGATTTCTTACAAGACACTTTTTATACCAATGCTTTTATGTTGTATGGGAAAGAAAGTATTTAACATTTAGAAATGTAGGGCCTATTTACAATTCTAAGTGTAGCCATTAATTTTTACACAAACGAAAGCTATATTGGATGTGTATATAAAGCCCTACGACATTGTCACCTTCTGAGAGGGAATCATTTAAGTAAATAGCAGGTACTTTGAAACATATATATGTGTGTAAATTGGACCAACTCTAGCAGAACATTTATATGTCTGTTTTACTTTTACGTGAAATTTTTTAAGAGGTGTTAACATACATTTTATAACACATTTATGTAAACTTTATTATAAAAGTTCGGGAACAGGCCCCGTTTAGTGTGTCTGCAGCAACATACCCACGGCAGGCCTGGTGGGGAGGTATCTCACATCGCACTGTAATTATACTGCACTCGTTGCTGAAGTGGGAGCCCAGTGGTTCAAATTAACATTCCTTGATGTTGACAAACGTCTACATCCTTGAAGCTAACAATTGGTCTATGTAAGATAGTATCAACACTTACCCAGAAAATAATCAACGAAGCTAAAATCTCTAAATTTGTTTCAAGATTTCTTTTCACATCTAAAGTGGCATTTTTTTTGTTGAAATGGTTAACTTTTGATGAAATGTGGAGGGTTCAAAAGTCAATACAGCAGATATCCATCAGCTATGAGTTATTGTGCTTAAGTCTGCCTGGCTGTAAAAATTGAACACCTGTAAAAGGAAATTGCATGATATACCGGTGTCCTAATCTTGATTTTCTGACCATAGGCTACAGCATATGATGTTACATCAAATCTAATTTCTGTATAAAAATTGAGAGACTGGCTTTATAAATGACTGATTGTGCATGCTGATTTTTTTTAGAATAGCCAGTCTGAAGAAAGCTGTCTTCATTTTTTAATTATAAATATATGAGTGGTCTGTAAATGATTTTGCTGGGCATTTTGACCAACTGTAGATATATAAATGTAAAACTGGACAGTTTGACCACAGGTAGAAATATACAAATAGAACCTGACAGTTTGACCACAGGAAGAAGTATGGAGATGAAACTAGACAGAATGACCACTCGTAAAAGTACAAAGATGAAACTTGACAGTTTGACCACAGGTAAAAATTATACTGAGATGAAACTGGACAGAATGACCACTCATAAAAGTACATTATTTCACTATTTAATCATTTATCTTCATAAAATGTTTCCTGGAGAAATATAAACGGCATTAATTAGAACAAGTTTATGTTAGAGGGTATTGTGTGGGCAAAAGTCAATGCATGGCTGTATTAAAGACCGAGGGTAATGGGGCATGACTTGGGGGTGTCCATCTTGATCTGTAATATATGTATAAACCCTTTGGTTACCTATAGTCTCAGGTAAAGTCGGGGTCATTCTTATGGTCAGGGAATTCAAAGGGTCACTCCTTGATGTACGTGACATTAGAAATGGATGGACAGATCTTTGTGATCTAGTTTAAGTAGGTAAACATTGACGTTCTGTCTGTCATTGAGGGTTTAACAGCACAATGGATGGAAATCGAGGGGGAGATTTGCTAAGTAAATAGGCAGTTTTCTGGAGGAAAGGTGTTATTTAACTTTATCATTACCCTTAATTTGTCGGATAACTGTTAAAACCTTGCATCTGAGCAGACTTTTAAAGTTTGTGGCGTTACTGGGGAAGCAATGCCAATCCTAGGTAGGTATTGACATGATTTTAGTAGAAAGTTGTGATCCCAGACTTCACCAGCCTGTTATCTGTAAGCCTCAGTTTTCAGTGTACTAAACGTTTCTCCTCGGCCGGTGGATATATACATAATCAGGATTATGTCTTACTTGTTTATAAGCAACAAAAACAAATGTACCAGTTAGGTCAGACTGTCATACACCTTATAAACATGAGGGAGAGTAGATAAGCATGTGGGTATATCTTACTTAATGTTTACCTTTTTCTACAGATATCTTGAGGAACGAAAAAAAAAGGGGAAAAAAAAGATAGTGTTGAGAGATTAGGGGATCTCTGTGTGAAGCGTGGGGCCAAGCTGTGTCAGGAAGTCGACAAGCATCCTAGGGCTAACACCAAGGCAGTCCTGGTCCCAGCCCTTCACAGGAGACACTCTTGTAAGCCCTGCAGTCCTGACAGGAGACACGATTTTATGTAGGGGACCGTAAGTCAGAAGATATAGCAGTCACTGAGTCCTATAACAGGAGACACACCTCTCCGGTCCTGACACAAGATCTGTAGTAACAAATGACAGTTCCTGAGTGACACCACCTCATACCATGAATACGGCATGTCACACACAGTTGCCATCCTCTCGCTGATTAGCCCTGCACACAGGTGTGATTCTGACAGGTGATCTCGTTCCATACCTGAATTTGGAGAGAAATTGTTCCACGCAGGTAGTGATTTCGTGTTTTTTTACCTGGATTTGTTTGCGATCCACACTTTTTACAGGTGATCTACGCTATAACAAGGATTGATTGCTATCTTTCAATTATTGCGGAATTAAGAGCTCAGCATGTGAAAAACAAACCACTGTGAATGAATTTAGAAGTTTGAATGGGACCTGGAGTTGTGACTCATTAAGGAGGCCGGGAAATGGATATGTAACCATAGGCCTCAGCTGGAAGTGGATTTAAAAGCTGAAACCTGATAACAAGGTTAGTAGAAACATATCAAAAAGGTGGAGAGAGAAAATCACAATTTGGTATTGTAGTGGAAACCTAGGTATGCATGTACTTCAAGGAAGTTCAATAAGTCACATGTAGAAGGTCTGCAGGAACAAACAACCGGAGTTCACTACATCTAGTGTAAGGTTTGTATTGGGTTATTTTCTCACTCTATAGTTACGTTTTTTTTTTACCATTTCCTGATACAAGACTAACATTAAGGTATTAACCTTAGTTGTAAGTGGAAATACTGAGATAAGATGTTTATTACTACTGTAGTACCTTAACTGTTTTGGATCTTGTTAGCATTTTCAACTCTTATACACATACGATACATATAATGCTATTCCTTACACTACAATACACATATAGGTTTGCTGGTATATTTAAATGATTAAGTATTAAGGAAGGGGGAACTACAGATCACTGTTGAAACATTTTTGCCAGGCTCTGCTTCCAACCTGAGGTTTTATTGACCATTGTTTGGTCTGATACAAATGCAGTTATAATAACTTTGCATGTCTTGAAATTTATTTGCATCTAAAATGTCTTAGTGTCATTGTAATTTGTATGAAAAATACTCAAACCTTACATCTTTCCAAAATGTTACTTGTCTAAAATTAACACTTGTATGGCTTCAGATTTCCCATATACATTGTATTACTTCAGATTTTCCATAGATATTGTATAACTTCATATTTTCCATAGATATTGTATAACTTCATATTTTCCATAGATATTGTATAACTTCATATTTTCCATAGATATTGTATAACTTCAGATTTTCCATAGATATTGTATTACTTTAGATTTCCCATACATATTGTATGGCTTCAGATTTCCCATAGATATTGTATGGCTTCAGATTTCCCATATACATTGTATGGCTTCAGATTTTCCATATACATTGTATTTACTTCAGATTTCCCATATACAATGTATTACTTCAGATTTCCCATAGATATTGTATAATTTCAGATTTTCCATAGATATTGTATTACTTTAGATTTCCCATACATATTGTATGGCTTCAGATTTCCCATACACATTGTATGGCTTCAGATTTTCCATAGATATTGTATAACTTCAGATTTTCCATAGATATTGTATAACTTCAGATTTTCCATAGCTATTGTATTACTTCAAATTTCCCAGATATTGTATAACTTCATATTTCCCCTAGATATTGTATAACTTCATATTTCCCATATATATATACATTGTATTACATCAGATTTCCCATAGATATTGTATTGCTTCAGATTTTCCATAGATATTGTATTACTTCAAATTTCCGTAGATATTGTATAACTTCATATTTCCCCTAGATATTGTATTACATCAGATTTTCCATAGAAACATTTTATTGCCAGAGACTTCCACTCTGACTTTGTACTGCTTCATATTTCCCATATATATTATATTACTTCAGATTCCCCATATACATTGTATTACATCAGATTTCCCATATACATTGTATTACTCATGATTTCCCACATACATTGTATTACATCAGATTTCCCATATACATTGTATTACTCCAGATTTCCCATATACATTGTATTACATCAGATTTCCCATAGAGAAATTGTTTTGCCAGAGACTTCCACTCTGACTGCTTCTGATTTTCCGTAGACATTGTCTAACCTGAGTTTAGCATTGACATTACAATTGCTGATTAGTTCCTCCAGTCTAAGAATTCCATTGAATTGTATTGGAATAGGTTTCCTGTTGATATGTTGTATTGCAAACAGAAAACTCTGAGAAGAAAATATGTTGATGGAAAACCTTTTGGTCAATGGTTTCCTGTTGGCCTATTATTATATTGCCCCAGGTTTTCCAGTTACATATTGTATTGCCCAGAAATTTCCGGAACTTGTTGTATTGCTCAAGTTTTTCTCTGACATATTGTATTCTGGAGGTTTTCCATTGGCATTTATTAGTGAAAGGTCCCAGCTGCTGATGATGGCTGATATAAGACCAATCACATCACCCTACCAATCACTTGTATTGGGGCCTAATTATACAGTAAATGGTCATTAATTATTGTGATTGTTGGCAACCTGTGAACTTCCTGCTGTCAATTACGGGCCTTTGAATACTGAGCTAGCTAGTCTTATATAACATAGCAGCTATACATAGTGTGTCTGTATGCATACATTTTGTATGCTGCTATACATCTCTGATTCTCCAGCATAACACTCGTTAGGGCTGTGACTGATTAAATTCCAGGCTTATAAAGCTGTTTAGGGGAAAGTCACCTGTGCAGGTGGGACGAGCTTGACTAATTAAGGCAGGTAACATGTCATTAGTCGGCCGTGCTATTTATATAAACAAACGTGTCTTCGTCCAGTGAGTACAACATACAACTGGTGTAACTGGCTATAATATATATGCTATTGCTGTTTTTTTCCTTTTTCTTGTAAACATAATGTTACAAATAATATTATAAACTGAAATTGTCATTTAATTAATGTACAGTTCACAATATTCTCATATTCAATTCACTGCTATGTATAAAAAAAAATATAAAAAAGACCCTGTTCTGATTTTTAAATGCACGCAATTTGATATAAAGCTGTGTTCAATTCAAACCCTGTTGATAGCTTATACTCAGTACAATGTAAAATACAAATATATAGTAGACTGTAGTTCATTATTAATTCAAAACTTTGCCAAGAGACTACAATGTCTAATCACAATCACTAGCTCTCTATAATAGAGCCCACATGTCTATAATGTTAATAATATAACAACTCCTCCTATGAATAGTGGACAGTGTTGCGAGTGCTGGTCTGTGTCAAAGAAAATCACTACCACAATCTCACATTAAATATCTTAAGCTATGACCCCCCCCCCCCCCTCTCTCTCTCTCTCTCCCTATGTAACACTAAAATTAATTGAAAATATTAATTAATTTAAGATTAATATTTATACCATCTTGTATAAATGTATTTTATTAAGTTATTGGGAAAAGGCTTTATATAAGTTGGACAACTTGTGCCCAATCCCTTTTGCATATTAGCTGCAATAAAAATTATTTTTAAATCAAACTCCTCAGCTAAACATATTTCTGTTTACTGACCTGTCTATAACAACCACCTGTATAATGTGTATTTCTGCCTTTGTTGAAGGACTTCCTAATTGAATTGTTTTATCCATTCTGTTAAATACCTGTCTATTACAACCACCTGTATATAGGTATTTCTGCCTTTGTTTACCAATACGAACTCCCCAATCAGATTGTTTTATATGTAAAATATCTGTCTGTGATGACAATTTTTTTTTGCCCGTCGATTTGACGGAAGTATTATGGTATGAGGTTGTCTGGCAATCTCCTCCTACATTTTTCAACCGATCTCTTTGAAACTTGGTATACATTATAATCATGATATGAAGTTGTGTCTCCTTTAAAAGAATTTTGATTCAACATTGTTTACAAAAGTTATTGCCCTTTGTTCATTTCAATGTTTATTTTTTTGTCCGGAGATCTCCTCCTACATTTTTTGACGGATTTCTTTGAAACTTAGTAGGCTAAATAATCATGATATGTTGTTGTGTTTCCTTGAAAAGAATTCTGATTCAACAATTTTTGCAAAAGTTATTGCCCTTTGTTTATTTCGGTATTTGATTTTTGTCCGGCAATCCCCTTCTACATTTTTCAACAGATCTCTTTGAAACTTGGTATACATTATAATCATGATATGAAGTTGTGTCTCCCTTAAAATAATTTTGATTCAACAATTTTTACTGTAAATTTAACATTTCTGTTCTAATTTTGTGATATTTTAAAGCCACCTGAACAACTGTTGGCATCGCGTTGAGTCCTCATATATAATCATCCTCTTATAATATATCTTCATCTACACTTATTTTAAAAAAAATCAAAAGAATTACAACAAAAAAACTAGAAAATCAATACTGCGTACATGTAATGTACTGCAAACTTGCCCAGTCAAATTTTTACCCTTTGCTGGTAAACTCCATATTTGCTCAGTGTTAGTTTCACGTTTACAGTTAATACTTATGCTTACATGGTCGGATTTATAGTACAGATTGTGATAACTTCTGTTGACAATAGTAAAAGTATAAGTGGCAGAATTAATGGTTGACCTTTAGCCTCGGGGATGCCACAGAAATATCACAGTACAATCATACGAGATTAATGATCTATAAGAAAGGTCTTTATTCATGGTCGGATGTCAACACTATAACAGTTTGTACACATAGCTGTAGCGGTTTACCTGGGAGATTTTACAGAAGTTTTTTTATAAGAGTACCTGTATGATGAATACCCTATGAACAAGCTAAGCATCACACCGCAGTGTGGAAAATTCAATTTATCATTGTGCTTCTATTATGAAGATAGAATCAATTTTGTGGAAGTTAGCCTGAGGTAACGTTTGGTGGCACATTTTGTCATACCTGTACAGATATATCTATCACGACAGGTATAGCCGTCCCTACCGTGAGGTAGACGTAAACCTTCTGACAGTAGTCCTGTTGGAGCTACTAAGGGAGCTACTTTTATACAGGCACACTGCTGTACGGCCCTTGCAGTCACTGCAGTGCAGTGCAGAAAAGTGAGTTTTTCTTATGATTAATATTTGTTTACCTTTTAATGATTTGAGTTATAAATAAAAATGGGTGTTATAATTACATTGCTACCATATATAGTCATATAATTTATGGAAGTTCTGGAACCGTAGGGCTACAAAATAGTCCTATGTAGTTGTCACTTCTGTATCTTACTGGAACTGTGGAGATACAACAAAAGTGCCATATGGTTGTCAGTTCTGTATCTAAGTGGAACTTGGGACTATTAATACAAAATGGCGTTATATATGGTTGTGGATTCTGTACACTACTTCGAAGTAGATCTCTGGGACTGCAAATAGTTGATTAGAACTCAAAGCTAAAAAAATAGCCCCATATGGTTGCCAGCTCTGCATCTTTTTGAAGGTGGAGAGGGGGGTGTCGTATATAGCTGT